TGCTATACTCGGTTTCGTGCAGGCAATTTCCGTCATTAAGAGCAGTTCGACCGTATTCCAGTTCTTAAAAAATGTAATCATATCGCAGTCGTACGGCTGTTGCGGCTTTTGTTTATTAAACCACGATGGTTAGATATAAAATGTTAACATTTCTGACCACGAGAAAGGAACTGAGGTGAAACGTCCTGACTTTCATTTGTGAAGTTGTGTGTGTGTGTGTGTCTGTATGTCTGTTCGTGTGGGAGCGGTGGTGTAGTGGTTAGCGCTACGCAGCGCTACCAACCTGGTGACCGAGTTCGATTCGGTCACAGTCCCTGTGATCACTGTTACGTTGCAATTATGGCTTTAGTTTTTGGTGATTTGGAAAACGTTTTTTGGTTTGGACATGTTTGTTTTGTTCTAGTACGGAGTTAGACTGATGGCCTTAATCTCAGTTTTCTTGTGGTTGTTGTTTGACTTGCATCCCACTGGGATTTTTTGCACACAGCGTTGGTGTACGGTGCTTTTTTCAGGAATATTTTGCTGTTTTATTCATGGATTTTCTGATTGGCACAGTCACATAGTCACTTTAAGATGTTTTTCTTGTTCGTGTTTTTTTGTTTGTTGTGGTCGCACCCGATTCAAGAGCCGAATGGCTCACAGGGCTATATCAAAATAAATAAACTGAAAAATACGCTGAAACCGATTCCCGCTCACAGCCAACATCAGTGACGATTATTTGAACCGGTCCTCGGACTCCTCCCCTAGGTCGACTAAGCCTCAAATGACTATCTGGTGCGGTGTGTAAACATCGCCACTGGGGAGACAAAGGCGGCCGGACGTGGTGCTGGCCACCCACCCCCTCGTGTGCCGTTCCGGACTTCATAGGTGCTCGCTAACAGCACTTGCCCCAACAGTCTGTTACAGGCTATGGGGGGATCTTTGTCTTTGTGCCCAAGCAAAACACTCTACAGAGGTAAGGGACTGGTGGCACCCCCATTTTATTCTCCATTCAACTCGCTGAACGACCTTAACTTCCTTTAAAAAACTCCCTTAGCTGCCTGACCTTCCCTCTCACCCCGTGTCTCTGCCCTTAACTCCGTTATCTGCCCTTAGCTGACAGCCACGTGTCTACCCGCTAATCACACTCCACGTGCCACCCACGACAGCTGGAGGGCCGGGGCTCTGTCCACTCAAGTGGTGCTGTGTTCACATTCAGTACCGTGAGTCGAGAGTCTCATTCTTGCAGTCCCCCGATGTGGTGCCACATCCTTGACCACGTAGCACCTCGATTCCCTTATACACGAGGCAACGCGTGCGGCGTAACGATTGTGCTTCACTACAGTGACATCGGATACGGCATTGGCCGTATTGACCTCCTGATGTATTGGCCCCTTGACCTGTGCCCCAAACAAGTCGAAGCCTCCTCCTCATACATTGCAGTATTACAACGAGGGGATGCTGCTGCTGCTGCTGTGGTGATGTGGTCAGCACACTGGACTTCAATGCAGAGGTCGCTGGTTGGGTGGCGTAGATTTTCACGACCTCGCTTGGTATGCAGGATGTCGTGGGTTCGATCCCGACACTGACGCCTGCTGCTGCTGCTGTATATTTGGAGTTTGCGGTGTCTCTCTCTCCCCGTGGTGGCGTGGTTTTCCCCCTTCACATTGAGAAACACGCGTTCAGAGTAATTGGCTGTTGCTTTAAATGTCCACGTGATAATGAGCCACTTAGTTCGAGCTGCTATCACTTGTGACAGCCGGGTCGCTTCTGAAAAAATATCTACATGGCAGCTCAGCGGGCTCTTACCTGGTAAAATTAAATACAAGTTTAATAGTTTTAATTCTCCGGGCGCGGCAATGAAAGCAGTGGGCGTGTGTTTTACGTTGCCTGCCTCTGTCGAACCAATGGTATACATGGGTATAAGTCGCATTTGGTGGGGTCAACTGTGGGTACTCCCACTCCGCTTAGGACGAATGGCCAGCGTGCTAGGTTAGGCCGATATTCCCTCTTGAGGAAGCTCCCTCGACGAGAACCTTCCACCAGCAGTGGCGCGAGCACAGCACTTGCAGGGCTGCGCCTTTACCACGTTCACATTTATCATACTACAATTTATAAATTAAATTTAGTTGAGCTTCGTATGTTGAACTTATTTCGCACCGTACGTAGCCAACCGTGCCAATCTGAGGTGCGGGGGGAAGAACAACAAACTGAACACACAAAGTTTATTTCTCTGGACTGGCTGGAGGGAGGGACGGGCGTTGGGCCAATCTCGTGTGAATCCACTGCTGGATGAGGGCCTGCCCCCGCTCCCCACCCACGCCGTGTCGGCCAAGACCATGGGGGTTGTTGCCTGACCATACTTCCCCCCCGCTAGTCAGTTCGTCTTACGCGAATGTACCGGCTGGAGGAGGCCCTATACTCTGCTGACGATTCTCAGCGATGTCAAGACCGTCGCAATCTTTTTCCGTTGCATGAACGAATGACCGCCGAGTGCACGGCACTTCGCCTCTTGTGGAACGTACAGAGAGGGCCAAAGATTTCGCCTCCTTCAAATGTCCGGCTCTCCGCACAAGGAAATTAAATACGAGTACTCCTTATATTACTTCCACAGCCCATCATCGGCACCGCTCTCTGGGAGTGCATCCTTTTCAACGGCATTGCTGCAAGACACGCAAACCATGGGCCGGTTTCGACATCCAGTGTCTCGTCAGCAGTTGCTCGAATCAATGCCACGGTGGACTGACGATCGTGCAGGCGAGGAGGAACCCTCCCGCTCTCTTTATGTTATGGCAGGGGTCGCAAACCAAAATAACAAGATGATACTTTTTTTTTTATTCGGTAAAAACCCTGAAAAAGTTTCAAGTGCCGCAATGCAGTTTGTTGTGAACAGGAAACGGTGATCCCTAAGAAACTACGACACGAAGCAGTCCGTACAGAGCCGCAAGCTGCCCCGGAGCCGCAGGGTGGCGACTCCTGTCGATGGCAAACTGGACTCCCATGGTAAACTGGACTCCCATAGTGAACTGGACTCCCACGGTAAACTGGACTTTCATGGTAAACTGGACTCCTACGGTAAACTGGACTCCCATGGTGAACTGGACTCCCACGGTAAACTGGACTCCCATGGAAAACTGGACTCCCATGGTGAACTGGGCTCCCATAGTAAACTGGACTCCTATGGTAAACTGGACTCCCATAGTAAACTGGACTCCCATGATAAACTGGACTCCCATAGTAAACTGGACTCCCATGGTAAACTGGACTCCCATGGTAAACTGGACTCCCATAGTAAATTGGACTCCCATGGTAAACTGGACTCCCATAGTAAACTGGACTCCCAAAGAAAACTGGACTCCCATAGTAAACTGGATCCCCATAGTAAACTGGACTCCCATGGTAAACTGGACTCCCATGGAGAACTGGGCTCCCATAGTAAACTGGACTCCCATGGTAAACTGGACTCCCATGGTAAACTGGACTCCCATGGTCAGGGATCGGCAACCAAAATAACAAGACGAGACATTTTTTCGAGTTTGGTAAAAACAACCCCCCCCCCCCCACCCTCAATATTTCAAGAGCCGCCATGCAGTCCTCAAAGAGCCACCGCATGCCACTCGGGAGCCGCTGGTTGCCGACGCCTGCGCTCTGGGGTCCAGGCTCCACGCGACGTTCGAGAGGGATACACAGCGCAGCACAATCATTGCCGTCGTTCTGGAAAATCATTAAACAAAAAAGTAACGGCACCGTGGTGACATTGCGGGGTGGAGCGAGCGGTGGGATAATGGGGAGTTGATTTGCGCTACGAACTCCGCTACCGGAGTTATATTCCGAGCAAGAGTCAATGTCACGTGGCGAGTGATATGTGATGAACCTTCTCGCTGCGTGCGAGCCCCCTTCACCGATCCCCAACTGACCAGCGATGGTGAAGGATGACCAAACAAGCTACAAAGTCCGACGCGCCGTGGGGAGAGGCATTCATCCAGCAGTGGAGTGGCAGATGGTGGCAACAGGTCATAATTCACATGCGTATATAAATATATACATCTAGGGATAATGTGTGAGTCTTGACTTTTCCGAAGGCTAACGTGAATAATAATAATACTCGCCACCACTACCACCACCACCAACGACTTATCACGAAACCAGCACGGCTATTTACAATAAAAGAAATTAGTCAACGCATGACCACCATCATTAACAACAGCAGCAGCATCATCATCACATCAAAGAGCTCGTGACGTTAACAGTAGTGGCAGTTGGGGGTTTCGTAGCAATATTAGAATTTCCAAATAATTTCGTTTAAAAAAAAAGAATAATCCCCTCCACCACCCCCCCCACCCAAACCCCAAAAGCGTAAAACTCCAAACACGACTCACGCTACTTAACCCCCCCTCCTCCACCCCTACCCCTAACACTATACACCCCGTGACCGTAATCTCACTCATAGCGTCTGCGGTCACTGGCTCCATGCAATGAGTCGCGATAACAGTCACACATCTCCGCTGCTATTCCCAGCGAAATAAATTAGGGCGAGCGTTTCGTTTCGTCGATTGAGTTGCCCGCAAACTCGGATCTTGTTTCATGCGCGAGGTCCAATTCGTGAGCGCGCATGCTGTGGTGCTGTCGCTGCCCCGTTGTTGTTCTGTTGTTGTGTTGTTGTTGTTGTTGTTCTGGTGTCGTGTTCTTGTTGCTGAGTTGTTCTGTTGTTGTGTTGGTTTGTTGTGTTGTTTTGTGTTGTTGTTGTGTTGTTGTTGTTGTTGTTGTTCTGGTGTCGTGTTCTTGCTGCTGAGTTGTTCTGTTGTTGTGTTGTTGTTGTTCTGGTGTCGTGTTCTTGCTGCTGAGTTGTTCTGTTGTTGTGTTGGTTTGTTGTGTTGTTTTGTGTTGTTGTGTTGCTGTTGTGTTGTTATGTTGCTGTTGTGTTGCTGTTGTGTTTTGTGAGATCTCCACCCACCCACCCCACTCTCTTTGGGAGCTGCACGCTGGGAATCGAGGAAGAGAGCTTTGTAGGGGGGGGGGGGGGCGCCGACCCTCCTTCTTGAACACCTGGAGCGTTGTGCGTAGATGCGAGGTGCCCTGGGGACCTTGCGAAGGCGACACGGACGTTGATATAAACAGCAGCGGCAGCAGCATCCGAGGCGAGTGCTGTGCGGCGACTTCAGCGACACGGACCCCCCACCCCCATCCCACGGCACAGCTTTTGTCGTACGAGCGGACCCTGCCGCTCCAACTGAGCCCCCTCTTTGCGAGAGACCCCCCCCCCCCCGCACACACAAATGGATATCGTCTCGGCCGTCCTCGTCACCGCCGTCACCATCAGCATCGGCAGTGCCAACAGCATCTCGGAGGCATATCAAGACCCGGAATTGCCTTTGACCTCACCAACATCATCAGCACCACTCTCATCATCGTCGCCGTCATCGTCATCATCATCATCGTTCAACGAGACGAGTACCGCATCCAGCAGTTCCAACCACACGAGTGGCGGCTTCCCCTACGACTACAACTACGGCTACGACACCGTGGACACAGCGTGCGACTACAGCGAGTGGAACGTCACGCCGACGCTCATCCCCATCGTCTACTCGCTGGTGTTCGTGTGCGGCCTCGTGGGCAACGGCCTGGTGGTGTGGACCATTGCGCGGCTCAAGACGCGCAAGCGCAACACGGATCTTTACATCGCCAGCCTCGCCTCCGCCGACCTCGTCTTCGTCCTCACGCTGCCCCTCTGGGCCGCCTACACGGCACTGGGCTACCACTGGCCCTTCGGGGGCTTCCTCTGCACCCTCAGCAGCTGCGTGTCCATGCTCAACATGTACGCGAGCATCTTCTGCCTCACCTGTCTCAGCCTGGACCGCTACGTGGCCGTCGTCTGCTCGATGAGGTGCCACTCGTTCCGCACGGCGCGCGTGACCAAGGCTCTGCTCGCCGGCGTCTGGACTTTCTCCTCGCTCATGGCGCTGTTCACGGCCGCTCTGGCCACCACCAAGACCATCGCCGAAGACCCCGCCGACGCCAGCTACGGCGGCAACTTCCTCGACGACGACGACGACGACTACGACGCGAGCGGCGGCCGAGTGGTGTGCGTGGTGGAGTACTCCTCGCTGAGCAGCAACGGGGAGATGTCTCCCGACTGGTGGAACGCCATGGCGGGCCTCTTCCACACGTCGGCGAGCTTCGTGCTGCCCGAGGTGGTGATGATCTACTGCTACGCGTGCATCATGGCCAAGATCCAGAACCACTTCACGCACGTGCGCAGGGAGAGCGGCAAGCGTCGGCGGCTGCTGAGAACCATCTTCAACCTCGTGCTCACCTTCACCGTCTGCTGGCTGCCCTTCCACGCGGTGAAGGTCACGAACGCGCTCGTTCACTTCGGCGTGCTGCCCACGCGCTGCGGCCTGGAGCGTTTCATTTTCGTGGGGCTGCCCTACACGGTGAGCCTCGCCTACGTGAACAGCTGCCTCAACCCCTTCCTCTACGCCTACTTCGACCCACACTTCAGGTCGACTTGCCTCGGCGTGCTGCGCTGCGCCACCCTCGAGGCGCTCATGGCAGCGCAGGTCAGCTCGGCGGGCGGATCCGGCGCCGCGACGGCGTCTCGCGACGAGCCCTCGTCTCGCTCCGACACGGCCGACGCGGCCGCCGGCAACGAGTCGAACGCGAGCGACGCCGTCGCCGCTTTGTGCTGCGGCCGCTTTCTGGCGCCGCAGGGCGCGCGCGCGCACACGGAGACCGAAACGTCGGAATTGCGCAAAAGTCCGACTCGATTTCAGCACGAGTCGCCCCTTCGTGGCGATAAGTAACGCGGTGACACGGACGTGGGCTATCGTGCTCTCGGCTCGGATGTCCCAGCCCCGGTCGTAGTAACGTGGAATGTCCACTACGGGCTCAGGTGGGGTGGGGAACCGTAACCAGGAGAGATGCGTCAATGGAACCCACCGGCTTTGACTTTTGGTGTCGTGCTTTCGTTCCCGCCGTAGAGCGGACTTTGTATCCGCTTGCATTAAGACTTATTGAGCTTGTATTGCTATTCGGGTGGAATCGGGATCGATTTTTCAGACCCCAGGCTTTATTTTCCCCAGCTGCCAAGGCTCCGTGGAGCTAAGCGGCTAAATTACAAGGAGGGACCACAGCGCAAGACCGTCTGACGATAGAGAATCAGAGTCTGTGTCTATCCTGGAGAAAATCCGATGAGCGACAAAGCTCTTGTTTTTTTCACAGATGTCCTTTGCCGGGAGTGAATGTGACAGACCGACTTTATTTACACGCCACCCAAGCCAGAACTTTCTGTTAAACAGGATACACAATGGCATAGTTCTTTAAAAATGTACGTACAAAAAAACAAATGCACGAGTTATAGCGGTCGCAATCGTGACAGATTTAATCCGTGGCTCGAGAAGGTAAAAGTGGAATATTAAGATTGGTCAAAAGGACATTCCAAAGTCGGGCACTGCGCAAGAGAAGTAGGTCCTGGAGTTCTTGGAATGCATTGTGATTTAAATTAATTAATATCTGTAAATAAATAAAATCCATCGCAAAAAATATCTCGCCACGTCCTCCCCACGCGGCTTTATTTGACCCGGTCGAGGCTTACGATACAAACTGGCACACAAGACAAAGATTCCCCAAGTAGCCTTTAACAGATTTTTGGGGCAAGTGCTGCTAGCGAGCACCTCTTAAGATCGACACGGCACACGAGGGGACGGGTGGTCAGCACCCAGTGCTGATGTTTTTTTTAAATTTTTACTCCACACCGTACTAGGTTGCTCATTTCAGGCTGAATCGACCGAGCAGAGGTCCAGGACCAGTTCAAATATTCGTCACCGGTGCCTGCCGTGAGCGGCAATCGAACTCGGCTCGCAGGTTTCGTAGCGCGCTACCCACTCCCCACACACTCAGACACACACTGAGATACACCGACACACACGCGCACAGACACACGCTAGGAAAGACTGTTCCATAGAAACGTATTTTCGTTGGTTCGCTGTACCACTGATGTACAAAACAAAGCGTCGCTGCTCACCACTTAAGAACAGCTTGCACAAGCTCCATCCGTCTCACTCACCTGTCCTGCTCACCCCACCCGCTCCACCCACTCACCTGTACTGCTCACCCCACCCGCTCCACCCGCCCCACTCACCTGTACTGCTCACCCCACCCGCTGCACCCACTCACCTGTACTGCTCACCCCACCCGCTCGACACACTCACCTGTACTGCTCACCCTACCTGCTCCACCCGTCCCACTCACCTGTACTGCTCACCCCACCCGCTCCACCCACTCACCTGTACTGCTCACCCTACCTGCTCCACCCGCCCCACTCACCTGTACTGCTCACCCTACCTGCTCCACCCGTCCCACTCACCTGTACTGCTCACCCTACCTGCTCCACCCGCCCCACTGACCTGTACTGCTCACCCCACCCGCTCCACCCGTCCCACTCACCTGTACTGCTCACCCCACCCGCTCCACCCACTCACCTGTACTGCTCACCCTACCTGCTCCACCCACTCACCCGTGTTCCGCGCTCACCTGCCTTGCTCTACATGCAGCGGTGGTGGCAGCCAATCGGGGGCGCTATGAACAAATTACTACTGAGTGTGTCACGTGACTACGAACACGTCTCTCCGACATAACTTCATTACATTCAGTTGTCAGAAATCATTGAAACAATCGAAGAGTTGAAATCGACACTTATTTTTGTTGTTGTTAGTATAAAAACAACAAACTTCAACACAATCGTCAATGACACTGCCAAGCTCGTTGAATGGAGAGCCGAGCTGCTGTTAACGCCCGGCGATGCTCGATGTGATATCCAGCGAAACGTCGGACAAAACTGTGAACATTTTGCTCGCTTTTCAACATTCCTCGTCCTCATCCCCCCTCCTAATGGTTTATCTGAAAAACCAAACGAGTCGCGCGGTGGAGAGTGTAGCTCAGGGGTCGGCAGCCTGCGACTCTTGGATCCGCAGGCTGCTCTTCAAGGACTGTTCCCTCACGTTGTTTATGAAGGAACCACCGTCTCGTACTCACCACGCAGTGCAATGTTACGGCTCTTGACACGTTGATTAACTTCCTCGCCTGGTGTACAGGAGGTCGTGGGTTCGATTCCAACCCTGACGCCTGTTGCTGTATATTTGGAGGATGCGTCTCTCTCTCTATCCCGTGGTCACGTGGGGGTTTTCTCCGGTTCCTCGGGGGTCCCCCCCCCCCCCCACACACACATTTAGAAACATCACGCGTTCATCGTATTTGACTGCTGTAAATTTCCACATGGTGATAAGCCACTGCACTGAGCTATCATTTGTGGCCAGGTCGCTTCTGAAAAAAAGCTACGTAGCTCAGTGGGTCATGACACCTTGTAAAATGAAAATAGTTTATAGTTTTATAATCCTTGTCGAACCCTGCGATAGCTAAACATTGGCATGATACCTATACACGATCTAACCCAACAATCAATAGAATTACGAATCCAAAGCACCGTGTGGCCTAAAGAGCAATGGCTTTTCTTCATAGCACATAAATGCGGATCATTCCTCGAAACGTCGACTATTCCATATTGTTTTCCTTTTCAGGGTCACTGCGTTCTTGACGTCTGTATTGTTTGCGTTCGTGCACCACTGCCAATGTAATGAAGGATTACAGTACCCGGCAGTATGAGATGCATTTCACACTTTCATTTCGACGGTACACTTGATTAGAGATACGTTTCGCTGGCTGGATTTTGCGTTCCGAGGGAGGGAGGGACGTAAGGTGACGTCCAAAGGACGCGTGGGGTGCCTGTCGTAATTTAGAATTCGCTTCTTGGCTATATGTGTACTGTTGCTAGGGATAGTTGTTATTAACATAAACGCTGATTTGTGATGATGGATTAACGCGTCTCTATATCTCGCCCCTCCCCCTCCTAGCCCCTCCCCCTCCTAGCCCCTCCCCGCTCCTCAGTGCAATTAACCATTGGTCACGTGACCGAAGCTTAATTGACCGTGGGAATTGGACCGTGATTAGCTGTTCTACCCCATACCCCCCCACCTCCCCCAAACGCACACAGCTATAGGCCTGCAATATATACGCATATGTACAGTCTACATGTACTGCAGTGATTGATGGGTGCTCCTTTGCGCTGATTGATTGACGTGAGCGATATACGGCTGTGACATGAAGCAGCGGCCGGTCCGATAAATAAAACGAGACGGAGATGCAGGAAGTGTCCATTTGTCTGTGAGTCCGTGTCTGTCTGTGAGTCCGTGTGTCTGTCTGTGTGTCTATCTGTGAGTCCGTGTGTTTGTCTGTGAGTCCGTGTGTCTGTCTGTGAGTCCGTGTGTTTGTCTGTGAGTCCGTGTGTCTGTCTGTGAGTCCGTGTCTGTCTGTGAGTCCGTGTGTCTGTCTGTGAGTCCGTGTGTCTGTCTGTGAGTCCGTGTGTTTGTCTGTGAGTCCGTGTGTCTGTCTGTGAGTCTGTGTGTCTGTCTGTGAGTCCGTGTGTTTGTCTGTGTGTCTGTCTGTGAGTCCGTGTGTCTGTCTGTGAGTCCGTGTCTGTCTGTGAGTCCGTGTGCTTCTCTGTGAGTCCGTGTGTCTGTCTGTGAGTCCGTGTGTCTGTCTGTGTGTCTGTCTGTGAGTCCGTGTGTCTGTCTGTGAGTCCGTGTGTCTGTCTGTGAGTCCGTGTCTGTCTGTGAGTCCGTGTGTCTGTCTGTGAGTCCGTGTGTTTGTCTGTGTGTTTGTCTGTGAGTCCGTGTGTCTGTCTGTGAGTCCGTGTGTGAGTCCGTGTGTCTGTCTGTGAGTCCGTGTCTGTCTGTGAGTCCGTGTGTTTGTCTGTGAGTCCGTGTGTTTGTCTGTGAGTCCGTGTGTTTGTCTGTGAGGCCGTGTCTGTCTGTGAGTCCGTGTCTGTCTGTGAGTCCGTGTGTTTGTCTGTGTGTCTATCTGTGAGTCCGTGTGTTTGTCTGTGAGGCCGTGTCTGTCTGTGAGTCCGTGTGTTTGTCTGTGTGTCTGTCTGTGAGTCCGTGTGTTTGTCTGTGAGTCCGTGTCTGTCTGTGAGCTCGTGTCTATCTGTGAGTCCGTGTGTTTGTCTGTGTGTATATCTGTGAGTCCGTGTGTTTGTCTGTGAGTCCGTGTGTCTGTCTGTGAGTCCGTGTGTCTGTCTGTGAGTCCGTGTCTGTCTGTGGACCCGTGTCTGTCTGTGAGCTCGTGTCTGTCTGTGAGCCCGTGTCTGTCTCTGGGTCCGTGTCTGTCTGTGAGTCCGTGTGTCTGTCTGTGAGTCCGTGTGTCTGTCTGTGAGCCCGTGTCTGTCTGTGGGTCCGTGTCTGTCTGTGAGTCCGTGTGTCTGTCTGTGAATCCGTGTGTCTGTCTGTGAGTCCGTGTGTCTGTCTGTGAGCTCGTGTCTGTCTGTGAGCCCGTGTCTGTCTGTGGGTCCGTGGTTGTCTGTGGATCCGTGTCTGTCTGTGAGTCCGTGTGTTTGTGGAGGAGGCTCGTGAAGGACCGCTGCCGGGCAGCTGGAGGTAATTCGCCCTTCAATTACAGCGGAGGGCAGAGGAAGCACGCTCACAACGACGAGCGGAGTGCCGGGCGGCTAAAAAGCAGCGAGATGGCACAGTGTGGAGCACAGCGTGGCTGTGCATCGCCCAGCCATCTCAGTCAAGTCAACCCATGGCACCTGCATGTATGCATGTTGAACTTCTTTCGGACCGTATGTAGCCAACAGCACTACATAGATCTGTCCCGTGGCCTCCTGCCAGCGAGCCTGAGACACTTCACGTGGTGTCAAGGTACATCTTAGCCTTGCAAAATCGCCGTCTCTGTCTGTGGGTCCGTGTGTCTGTCTGTGAGCCCGTGTCTGTCTGTGAGTCCGTGTCTGTCTGTTTGTTTGTCTGTGGGTCCGTGTTTCTGTCTGTGAGCCCGTGTCTGTCTGTGAGCCCGTGTCTGTCTGTGAGCCCGTGCCTGTCTGTGTGTCCGTGTGTCTGTCTGTGGGTCCGTGTTTCTGTCTGTGAGCCCGTGTCTGTCTGTGTGTTCGTGTGTCTGTCTGTGATCCCCTGTCTGTCTGTGGGTCCGTGTCTGTCTGTGAGCCCGTGTCTGTCTGTGTGTCCGTGTGTCTGTCTGTGGGTCCGTGTGTCTGTCTGTGAGCCCGTGTCTGTCTGTGTGTTCGTGTGTCTGTCTGTGATCCCCTGTCTGTCTGTGGGTCCGTGTCTGTCTGTGAGCCCGTGTCTGTCTGTGTGTCCGTGTGTCTGTCTGTGGGTCCGTGTGTCTGTCTGTGAGCTCGTGTCTGTCTGTGTGTCCGTGTGTCTGTCTGTGATCCCGTGTCTGTCTGTGAGTCCGTGTCTGTCTGTGAGCCCGTGCCTGTCTGTGTGTCCGTGTGTCTGTTTGTGGGTCCGTGTGCCTGTCTGTGAGCCCGTGCCTGTCTGTGTGTCCGTGTGTCTGTCTGTGGGTCCGTGTCTGTCTGTGAGCCTGTGTCTGTTTGTGTGTCCGTGTGTCTGTCTGTGTGTCCGTGTGTCTGTCTGTGGGTCCGTGTGTTTGTCTGTGAGCCCGTGTCTGTCTGTGAGCCCGTGCCTGTCTGTGTGTTTGTCTGTGGGTCCGTGTTTCTGTCTGTGAGTCCGTGTCTGTCTGTGAGCCCTTGTCTGTCTGTGGGTCCTGTCTGTCTATGGGTCCGTGTGTCTGTCTGTGAGCCCGTGTCTGTCTGTGTGTCCGTGTGTCTGTCTGTGGTTCCGTGTGTCTGTCTGTGATCCCGTGTTTGTCTGTGGGTCCGTGTCTGTCTGTGAGCCCGTGCCTGTCTGTGAGCCCGTGTGTCTGTCTGTGGGTCTGTGTCTGTCTGTGAGCCCGTGCGTTTCTGTCCGTCTGCTACAGCAGAGGTGTAGGGAATTCCAACAAGACCTACATCTCTGCTTTATTGACCTGGTCAAGGCCTATGGTACCATCAGTAGGCCTGGGCTCTGGGTTGTTCTTCGTGCTTTTGGAGTCCCTGACCCCCTGCTCACGATCATTAAGGACCTTCATGATGATGAGCGGGCCCGGGTAAAACTACGTGGCCGGGAGTCAGAGCCATTCCCTGTACACCTTGGGGTGCGACAGGGATGTCCTCTGGCTCCCACATTATTTAACATCTATTTTGACCACGTAGTTCGTGAA